CAAACTAAAGGGTGACAAGTGTGGATTATAGCCACTGATTCTGTGGAATTAGTGTGTGTATTTTATAGAATGATCTAAAATTATAACCTTAAAAGATTGTTTGTGATTTAATCATTACACATATGCAGATGCTTAGATTGCTGGTCAATAAATATATGAAAAAATGCTCAACAGTTCTGGCCAGTAGAAAAATGCAAATTAAAAGAAACTTAAGATTCCATCTTACTCCAGAATAAATGGCAATCATTAAGAAATCAGACAATAACAAATGCTGGCATGGCTGTGGTGAAAAAGGAACTCTCTTTGATTGTTGCTGGGAATGTAAACCAGTATAACCATTATGGAAGTCAGTATGGAGATTTCTCAAAGAATTGAAATTAGAAATTCCGTATGACCCAGCAATCCCCCTCTTAGGTATCTTTCCCAAAGAGCTTTATACATCATACTACAGCGATACATGCATTCCAATGTTTACAGCAGTACAATTCATAGTAGCTAAATCCTGGAAGCAGCCTGTATACCCATCAACAGATGACTGGGGAAAGAAAATGTGTTATACATCCAGTGGCACCTTGGCTCACAAACTTAATTCTTTCCATAATTCTGGCCACAGAATTCATTCCATGGTTCTTGTTGCAACTGAGTTGCAAACATGGGGAATGAATTCTATGCTGAGAGTCATGGAAAGAATGAAGCGAGGGGGTGGACATCTTGCAATAAGGAAGGGGTTCAAGGGAAAAGGCCGAGGGGTGAGGCAGAGGGCAAGGGAAATAAGTAGAATAAAGATGAGCAGTGAAGAGGACCCTAGCCACCCCAACAAACGTAGACATTAGATGCCATGACACGAGCTCAGAGTAATAGTATCAACAAGACTGAACATCAGGATGGGGAACTGGAGGAGGTAGGAGGGAAAGGGAAGGGAGGGGACGCAGGATGTAAGAAAAAAACAAGAAATAAGCCGGAGTATGCACAGGTACCCACTCCACAGGACAATTGCAACCTACATGTGCTGCTAACATGTACTAGGTTTCTAAAAAGCTGAGAGAAAAACCAACAACAGAATAGGTGGTGGGCAGTGGATATAGCTCAGCAACACAAGCACCTGCCTGGCAAGCACAAGGTCCTGAGTTCATATCCCTGCTCCCCCCAAAGAAACCTCTGTGGTGAAAATGTCCATGCTGAGGAAGTCAAGGATCTGCAGTACCAGTGAGAAAAGTAAAACACCATCTCTGTTTTAAATAGACACACGTTTGCTCCAATAATGGATTTGTACAGTGACATTTAGGTTTTATACTATGCATTTGCAGCTTGGAAATTTCTAATTGAAACCTTTTTACAGGAAAAACATATCATGTTTGAAGCTATCGTGTATCAGCCAATATATATGAATGCTTTTTCTGTTCATGAGAAATTTTCATTAAAATTTTTTTAATAATGAGAAACAGTACTTTCTCATTGAATGGGAGGAAATCTGCCCCCTGCTTGTGCTTGTGAGAATTACTGAGAATTCCTGACCCATTAAAATTATGAAAGTCCAATGTAATAACTTCCTGGGTTCTGAGTGCAGTTACAGTAAGACGGCACAGATAGCAAGCTCTGGAATGTTTTGGCATTACAGCTGTCACATAGTTGTGACACTGACTAACTCAGATGAACAGGCTCACATAATGTCTAATTTGTAAAATATTTGAAGGCCATTGTCCAAATGCCAGCAGCTAGCTGTTACCTTGGCCATGAAGTTTTATTTCACTTGTTAGGTTTTTCAAGGGCAATTTTGAAGAAGTTGATTATATGTGGGCACATATCAGATTTTAAAACTGTAACCCGAAGTTGGGGGAAAAGAGTCAAGTTGGATTTCAGTAGATTAGTTGTGAAAATGTAGAGTGTTGATGACAAACCTAAGCAACAGGCAGACACTGGAAGAATTCTGGTTACCTTGCAGAAAAGCATGGCTGCTTCCACTCTCTTGCTATAAGCCCTTACCTTCACGTATTGTTTATTTCCGTTCACTGTCATATTCTATGTTGGACAGTGCTAGAGTAGTTAGCAGCCAAAGTGTTCTAGTTTTTTCTTTTTTTAAAAGAAGAAGCATAAAGTACATTAGACTGGCTTACTTGTTTCAATAACTCAGACTCAGTTATAAGAAGGAAAGTTTTACCATTATAATTTCCCTTATTTTCAGTTGCTACTAAGGGGGAATAGAACCTACGTTGGCTTTGAGTTTCAGAAAGTCCAGCTTTAACTGGTAAAATCTGGTTTGAAGCTTACCCGTCACAACTGGGTGAGCAAGGTCAATTAATTTAACCAATCCTCTCCTTGGGTTTTCACTTTAATCTGCAAAATTTGAATGATGCTAATGACAGGTAACAGACAGTATTTTACTTTTCATTATTTTTTGATTGAGAGTATTGTACTTTGAATGAAAAAAAAAGCTCCACTTAATTATCCAGTGGATGGTTGAATTATTTCACAACAACAGCTGGACTTCGTCAAATGCTTCTGCAGAATTTCCTGATTATTACCTTAAAATTCCGACGGATACCTTATTTTTAAAACCATCAGACCACACATATGTGGCCTAGCTTAGTAAGTAAATGCCCATCTTTAACAGATATTTTAAGAAGATGTTGCAGGACACAAATAGAAAACAACCGTGAGTTTGTACTATTTCATGTAGCAAACCTTTTCCCAATGCTCATGGAACCCCCGCAGGTTCCAAAGGCTCTGGGACCCGAGGCTGTGACCTCAGGCCCAAATGCATGATAGGACGATGTTGAAACCATGAATCAGGAGGAGCAACGTGCAGACACAAGTCCTCAAATTTACATCAGACATCTCAGTGTCCATCTCCCAGGAGCCAGATGACTTGGTATCTCTTCCCTGCAGAATTTGATACCATGTCCAAAAGCCAGTTAAGCTCCGATGTAGGTAAGAAGGGCCAAGAGGTTCTGGCCACAGTGGGAGCAATGTTACTATAGGAAACGGACTCAAAATGTTTCCTCAGAACCCCTCTTAGAGTGGCGTGCTCTCTCCCATCCCTGGTGGCAGCATGACTTGATGATGACGCTTGTCTTTGGAGACAGCTGTTTGGATTCAAGCTCTGGCTTTAACTTCTCAGGGTTTTGTGGCTGGGGAAAGCTGTGCCTCAATGTCCTAGTGTGCAGGACTGGGATAATGACCAATGTGCCTGTCTCACTGGGTGTTTTGCGAATGAAGGCATGGCTCTTTGTTGTCCTTTAGCCCTGCAGACAACATGGGCATGGAGGAAGTTCTACCTAAAGATAAACTGTTACTAATCTGTTATTGTGCTGGTCTGGAGCCAGTCCTGCAGTCCTTCCCAGATGGGAGGATTTGGGAAGAAAGTGAGCCAGGTGTGGTGGCACACTCTTGTAATCCCAACACTTGGGAGGCTAAGGCAGGAGGATCACCACGTGTTCCAGGTCAGCAATCCTGTCTCAACCAAACCAAAAAAAAAAAAAAAAAAGAGCATTCTGGAGAATACCATCAAATTTTGCCATTAATCTTTGTTTTACAAGAAGCAAAGAATTTTTTGAGTTCACAGTTTGTCATTTTCCCAGAAGAAACATCTTATGTATACTCATCCTCTGCTTCTCTGAACTCTGTGAAAAATTTATTTCTCACCCAAGCTGAGGCCCTGGGATTTGAAGCTGGGCATCTAGCCCATCTGGGGAAAGGTTGAGTCACCTTCTGGATGGCAGACAGAGCTTTACTAAGAAACCATGCAGTCCTGGTTACTTCCATGGCCAATTCCCTCACTTTGGTTTTGGAATTCTCTGCACCAAAGCTGGCTGAGCCTTTCTGATGAACATCTACAGAGGTGTCAGGTGGTATCTGGGAGCTCAAGCCCATGATGTCCAAGTTATTCAGAACTAAAAGCTCTATCATGTCAGGAAAAAAGCAACAGCCTTCATTATTCAGCTTGAGCAACTAACGCTAAAACAGAGCAATGATCTGAGTGCTTGTTTTGAAAGAGATATTTCAGTGTTGTCCCTAGGCTTAAATATTTATGTATTGAGTTCAAGATTTCTTAGTACATGTAGTACAAGTCATAGATTTTGGCCAAAGTTCAAATTTTGTGGTGGGTGGAGTGGTAATTTGCCAGATGTCTTTGAGTGTTTAAAATAAAAGAGAGGCTGATTCTACATAGACAGTCCACCAGGCAGGAGAGACCCAGGAGAGCCGAATTCTATTCTTAGCTTGGCCGTTGGCGTGGGGCCGCTCCCCTCCAGCCGTTCAGTTGAGGGTAAGCATCAGTCCCTTCCCTGGAGTTGGTAATAAGGAAAAGACCAGCAATTTGTGCTTACCTGTGCTTTCTTGAAGATGTTTAGGGTTGCTGTGTTTGTTCTTATGTGTCTAAATTTCTACCCTGGTTCCATCCCTCTCCTGAGGTTTTAAGAGACAAAGTATAAGAAATGATTCTTGTGCTGAAAGAAAAATAAAAAAGGATTTGATTATTATTCCCAGAACTTCAGCTATTCTGCAAGAGCCTTTGGGATCTTAGGGACAAGCTGAGGCAGGAAAAAATATTTGAGGGTTTGGGATAGTTTGGGATAAGTTCTGGCCATGCTTCAGCTTTAGTTTTTCTTTGTTGCTTGGTTGTTTTATGGTGATTATTTGATTGTGTGTTGGGCAGATACCTGTGCTTTTATATAATATTGTGTTTTCTAGAGTCTACTCAACTTTATGGCTTGAAGTTTTTTAATAAAAATTTATTTTCTTTCCTCTTGATTTGGGTACTTTGAGCACACTCTCACGAGACTGATAAAATAGATTTGTGAAACGGCCTGACCATTGGAAGGGTCCTATGGCCCAACAGTGCAGTAGGAATAAATACACGTCCGAAACTTGCTGTTAGATATGTGTGTACTTAGTAAACATGTGTTGATTGATTGATTTTCTTGGAAGATCTCCAGTCTGTAAAATTATGGCTACATGACTGTGACTTATTTCTCATCGGAGACGCTGATTCCTCTTCCCAGCTCTAAGCCCTGCTCAGCACTGCGCACGTCTACAGTAGCAGAGACTGTCGCTCTCCAGAGTCTTCAGTTGCTCTGAACAACCTCAACGATGAGTAACCTACACTTGCTCATGACTGATAAACCAAGAGTGGGGCTTTGGATCTTGGTGATTCTAACAGTTCCCATATATTTCACAGCAGTGAAAGGTAATAAGTATTGTTCTATAATACTATAATAGTTCTATAATACTACAATAGTATTGTACTATTTTAAAAATTGTTAAGTAATTCCAAGAACATTTGTTTTAAACTGTCTGCTTCTGATTGTTCCAGCTGAACTATCAGGTAGAAAAATAATCTTTTGCTAGGCAGTTATTCTTCATCACAAGTCTGAAAAGAAGAAATTTTCTGTGATAAATACATAATAATTTCCAGATGTTCAAATAAGCTAGATTTAAACACAATGCCTGCACCTAACAGGCGTTACAGGCATTTGTTGACAGACACATAACTTGTTTAGGTAGACAAGGATGCTTTTCCACTGAAGCAGTGTGAGAGGCTTCACTTCACACTAATTTATTAATCTGTGGTACCCAATAAAGCCTTTCATGAAAGATCTTAATTGTTTACTTAGCTTTTCTCCAAATACCACAATATGGGATGCATTTTAAAATTTATTTTTAGATGGAAATGTCAAGAGTGTGAGAATTGTGGTCTTTGGGTATGATCTTTCAGGACCATCTGTGTATGTTTTATTTGTAGGTATCTCATCATGGGGTCTGGAAAACGAAGCTTTAATTGTCAGATGTCCAAAAACTGAAGGGTCCCGTTATCCTGTGGACTGGTATTACTTGAAAACAAATGAAAGCATTCCTACTGAGAGAAGAAATGGAGTCTTTGCTTCAGGGGAGCGGCTTAAGTTTCTCCCTGCCAAAGTGGACAATTCTGGAATTTATACTTGCATTATCAGAAGGTATGATCAGCGAAGTCACCCTAATCTTTGAGTCTGTCCTCAGTGTATGTGTGTATGTGTGGGGGTCTCAGCTGGACAAACTTCACTTCTTTCTTTGCTCCTCTGTGGGACAGTTGACTTTGTAAGTTGATTTGAATGAAAGAGTACTTTTAGTAACTTCATTGCTATTATATTTGAGTAGACTATTACAGCAGATATAGGTAAGGAAGAAATGGCTGAGGATTCATTTTTAGGGCTAGCAGAGGGGCTATGCTTTATTTCAAGAGTAAAAAATATTATTTAAAACTCTAGATGTGAGTGGTTATTTTCAATAAAAAAGAATCACTGCATATTGTTCTCTTAAGAACAAAAGCAATACTGAGCAAAAGCTAGAGCTGGATGAAATTGTTTCACAATGCTAAACAACTCTTTCTAATTACCTTATTTTACTAGTCCTACCCGGAATAGGACTGGTTATGCAAATGTCACCATCTATAAAAGACCAACAGATTGCCACATTCCACATTATTTGATGTACTCAACAATATCTGGGTCAGAAATAAATCCCAGAATATATTGTCCCAAGATTGACCTCTACAATTGGACAGCTCCTCTTCAGTGGTTTAAGGTACAAGGACATTTGAATGGGGGGGGGATATCAATGAAAACTGCACAATTAAAATATGTACAAAGGGAGGATTACTGAGCACAGGGGGGATTTTTTTGTTTCAGAACTGTAAAGCTCTTCAAGGATCAAGGTACAGGACACACAGGTCATTTTTGTTCATTGACAACGTGGGGCGTGATGACGAAGGTGATTACACATGTAAATTCACACACAGTGAAAATGGGGTCAGCTATAACGTGACAGCAACCAGATCATTCATTGTTAAAGGTAAGCTGGGACATTCAACAAAATCGGACATTGAAACAAAGACGCCCAGTGAATTCCCTGCCCTGGTCCCTTCTCTCTGCTACTTCCGCTAACAGAAACATTTCTGGATGCCCTAGCCAGGTTTTAGAAATCCCTACAGAGCTCACTGATCCAAAACCACATCTACTTTTTTCTGACTTACTTTTGCAAAGATGAAGCAGCCTAAATGCTAGTGTAGTATGCTTTGTTGAGTGGTGGTACAACTGCGTGTGAGGGCCTGGGTTCAAGACCCCTCAGATCCCCAAATCCTCAGACACCCCAACCACATGTTAAATGGTGAAGTGTCTGCCTAACACCTGTGCACACTGTCCCATCCTGTCATCTCTAGATGAACTATGACACCTGGCACAATCTAAATGCCATAGTTGTTGTGCTGTTTTGCTTAAGGAACACTGGTAAGAAAAAGGTCTGTGCATATGTAGGACAGAAGCAAGGTTTTTCCTAATACTTTCCATCCTTAGTTGGTTGAATCTGGAAACGTTCAACTTGCAGTTATGGAGGATGTTGCTAAGGGTTTACATAGACATTGTGCAATGATTTTCAACCCTGGTATGCAGAGCTTTTGGCGTGACCAGTGATCTCAAGTGGGCTACTTACTACTAAAAATACTTTTTTAAAAATATATTTTAAAAAATTTTAAAGCCTGTTTAAGGGAAAGAGTTCACAATTACAGGTGAATGAATAGATCAAATATATACATATATACCAGCTTGATCTATTGAAGCCAATGAAGAAGCCAGGTCACACAATTAATGTTCCAGACCAGCTTTTGTTTTAGTGACATAAAAGAGAAAAGAAAAGATCAAAGTGCATTACAGGTAGTATGATAAAGTGTTACTTAAGTGTTTTTAAATTAAGTTTATTGGTACATTTTAGGTACACATAATGATCACGCTCATCACAGGAAATTTGTACCTCTACATGATATATCTTGATTCTTTTTTTCCCCATTCTCCTCCCCTCCCATCAACCCCTCTTCCCCTCCTTATTTACAGAAGCTTTGTTTCCATTTTCTCCTTCTTGTCTCATTTTTTTTTTTCTTATTCTTTCCTTCCTTTTCCTGTCTCCCCTCCCTGGTCCCCGTTCCCAGTTGAGCATTTTCTGACTATTTCACAACACCTACTATACACTTTGGCCCTTTGTTTGCCTGTGTGTGTATACACTTGTGCCTCCTGGAAAAGTTTGAGAATGTTGTTACAAAATAAGATGGAAAAACATGAAAGGCCAAACCTTATACTGACGACGCCAATGCTCCCTTAATACTTATATCCACTTCCTGTTTTTGATTTTAAGATAAGCCAGGAGTTTCTGTGTTTCCAGTGATTGTGACCCCTTCCTACAATGAAACAAAGGAAGTGGAAATTGGTAAGAAAATTGTGGAAGAATGTGGGAAACTCTTTGCTGGGAGCTGGGAGCGGTGCGAAGTGCTCTGCCTGTGTTATGGTGCTTAGTACAGGGCAGTGCAGTCTCCACGAGGGGGTCCACCTGTGGAAGGACAGTGGCCGGCCCCAGCCGCGTGTTACCGTTTGAACCGCGTCGCGCAGTGCGCAGGGCTGCGGTCTGTGCTGCACTTCGCCATTTGCAGTGCTTTCCTGTTTGCCTCGCGTCTCCTTCTAGCCGCTACCCCAGCGGGGCCTGTTTTTCCCACTGTGCTTCTGAGAAACCCCGGGCTCAGAGCTGTTCAAGGAGACATCCAAGGTCTGGGGAAAGAATGAGAAGGCAGACTTCCTGGCTCTTTCTGTTCTGCCTTTCCCGGTGCACACTGGCAGTGGGTGGGATTCCGAGGTGTCAGCAGGGGAGGCCTCCTGGGACCTGGTCCTCCCTACCCTCCAGGCGCATCTGCAGCCCTCAGGCCCCCACACTCCGTCCCACCCACAAGTGGGGCTTTTGCTGGCCCTCCAGATTTGGTCCCGTCTTTCCTCCTTCCCGTCTCTCAGGCCGTCATCTCTCACTCCTGCCCTCCATACCACCCTCCTTTCCTTCTGGAGCGCAGGCTGTGCTCATCCTTCTTCCCTCACGGCCAGCACACCACCTCCACGAGCAGTGTGACCGCCGCACTCTCTGCACTGTCTCCCTCGGGCTCCCAGGCCTCGGGGTTTGTCCTTCCCTTAGTGTCCTGCAATGCGTGTGCCGCAGTCATTCCTTCCTCCCACCTCCATCCCAGAAGGGCTCTTCAGGCCTCTCGTGATGGGACCAGAGGCTCAGACAGGGTTGGTCAAATGCAGGCCCGTGGCCAACAAAAGCCCTGACACTTTCAGTTCTAAAAGGAGGAAGTCACAAGTTCAAAGAGCCGGAAGGACAAGCTGGAGAGCACTCTGTCCGGACACTCGGCCCCGGATGATAGGCTGGGCTGGGTAAAACAACGGGAGCTCATGGAGAGGGGGAGGGAATTCAGCTGGAGGACAGAGGGGTGGAGGGGATCAGATAAAACTACTCCAGCCTCTAACTTTGGAAATCTTACATGGCCATGTGAGGCTGTGAAGCCCAGGCAGCTCCCCGCCTTTTGGTTTTCTAGAGGTGAGCAGGGCGGGAGTCAAACTTCCCCCTGAACTGGGATGAAGTAAGAGGAGAAGTCCAAAGAGAGGGAGACGCAGGGAGAGGCAGAGATGGTGCAGGAGCCGACGGGAAGAACCTCAGGGCGGTTAGGCCGACAGAGACTTCTGTTGCCTTGAATGAAATGAAATACTGCTTGCAGAATTTAATTTGATGGGCAGATTTCTTTGCTTCTCACCCAGGAGAAACGGTGAACATCACCTGCTTGGCTTGCTTTGGGACAGGGGCGCAGCCCTTCGCTGGTGTCCTGTGGCAGGTGAACCGAAGCAATATCAAGGACTTGGGTGGAGCACGAATTCAAGATGAGCAAGGGGAAAATCAAAGGTATTTTTTATTGAAGTCATAACATTCTCCTCCCCTTCCTGGACAATTGGCACCTCAAAGGAAGCATTAAAACTAACAAACTGCCGGATGGTTGTGCACACCTGTCATCCCATCGTTGGGAGGCTGAGGCAGGAGGATTGCAAGTTCAAGTCCTTCCTGGAAAACTTAGGGAGACTCTGCCTCCAAATTAAAAAAAAAAAATAAATGAATAAAAGGGGCTCTGTGCCAGAGCACCCATGGGTGTGATCCCTAGTACCTATGCGCACACACACACACACACACACACACACACATAACAAGTTGCCTTCTCAGTTCTAGCAATGACATGACTTGTCTCAACACCGTGTTAAGAATAACCGAAGTGAAGGAAGAGGATTTGTCCCAGGAGTACGACTGTGTGGCCTGGAATTTTCACGGGGTGATACGGCACGCTGTGAGGCTGATAAAGAAAGACCCAAGTAAGGAGTGTTTGCGAGATGCTGGTCTCCCGAGTTTGCCGTATCTGGTGTAAGCTGAAACGCTTCTCAGAACAGAGACCATGTAAATGGCCGGCCACCTACAATGCACTCCTCCTCTGGAAGGTGCTATTTGTGCTCTGGCCTTTTGGAATGTCTGCTTCCTCCTCCTCCTCCACCTCTTCCTCCTCCTGTTTCTTGGACTGCGCTTCAACTTTCAGCTGCTTCCTCGTCACCCTGCCCAGCTGCAGGTGACCAAGGAAGGACACGTTGTCCACAGAGGACTCAGACCAGGAATAGAGCTGTCTGAGTGCTTGCGCTTTTCCTTGTCCCCCTCCCCCCGCCCCAGCAACATCCCTGGACATCAGTTCTGCAAGGCTCTTCCGAGGGACCCTGACCTCTCGCCCAGTGTCCCAGCCTGGTTTCTCCCAAGCCTGGCCTTTTGTCCGTGTCCTTGCTTGAACTTTGCATTTCCAGGCAAAGTCCTCCCGTTTTGTTAGAAGAAGCGTTTGGCTGCATAGAAAAGGGTAGGGAGAAAGGGCAGTGCAGCTGTGTAGAAATTACTGGGTAGGAAATTACCTATGTAGAAATTACCTAGGATTTGTGGAGTAGCCAAGAAGAGGGTTGAGCACTGAGTGGCTGGGTGCATCTGACAGACAGACAGACTGGCAGGGGTTCCGAGCACTGGGGTGGAGGGCAGCTAGTTAATTTGATGTGGTCACGGTAGGTATCTGTCTGAGGTGGTCCTTGCCTTGAGATTTTTCTAGTTTTAATTTTGATGTTGACCCCTGATTGGTAAGGTCCTATAAAACAGAGACACCACTCACACAGACGACTCTGTCATCTTGTTCAGTAGCACACTCAGCTTTGGCTATATCACCAGGAAATTGTGGACCATGCCAGGGTGTCTTGGGGTGGTGGTGAGCACACTGGATCCCCTAGGAAGGGGAGGCCATGCACGCACCCCACACCCCACCCACGGCTCCTTCCTCTCTCCCTGCACTTTGCTTGCATTATCACTTATGACCGATCTCTTGTCGCCTGTGTATTGCAATTGTGCTCATTTCTGTGCCTGTGATTTTTGTACTTTCTGGTTTATTTGTAGTTCAACTGCTGTTTTTCGAGTCACAACATAGGTGCACTGTTTCGACAACCATATAAATTAAACAATTGTCTGTGCTGTATTGAATTGTCATAGTAAATTCTTTTATTTCTGAAATGACAGGAATTTCTTGAATTTAAAGAAGAAAAACTTAAAAAGCTTATCTTCGGATTATTAAATAAATGAAGTTCATAATAACAATAGGACACACAGGGGCTGGGGATTTAGCTCAGCGGCAAAAAGCGCCTGCCTGGCAAGCGCAAGGTCGTGAGTTCGGTTCCCTGTACCAAAGAAAAACCAAAAAAAAAAAAAAAAAAAAAAAAAAAAAAAAAAAAAAAACCAAAAAAAAAACCAACAGGACACACATATATGCATTCTTTCCTGTGTCCCAGACCTTAATTCTTTTACATATAAATGTCTCAATTGCTTTCTCCATATCCCCAAAATGAGAGATGGTTACTGTCTCCAATTTTGTAGATAAAAAAGAAGGCAAAGATAGCTACATGACTTGCTTTGAACCACATAGAGAGCCAGCATTCATACACAGATAGCTCATTCATTTTATAAACATTTACAGGAATTAGTGTTCCATTATGGTACACAAGAATTGCCTATAGATTTATGAAATCATTGATGTTTAGGCAAATATTGAACTTTGATTTTCTCAATGACTTGAATCACTTTCTCCAGTGGAAGCATCCAACCACCTGCATATAACCTCCCAAGAAGTACACATCCCTAGCATGTATACAGGCAGGATGACTTAGAGAGTTTATCACTGGAAGCTCCCTGCCAATTTTCCATTCTTTCCCCGACCTCGGATCACCTCATCCTGACCATCCTTGATGACCATCCTTGATTTTGTGGTGCTGGCTACTCAGGCAGCTGATGGGCCCTTGCGGGTGGTGGAAGGATTTGTGAGTACTGGCCAGGGAGTTTTGTTGTCACACCTGGGACCCCACACACTGAAATTAAGACTAAAATGAAAAAGAACCATAATACCAAACCTCCTCCAAGGTTCTTCTCACGTTTACCTTTAAGCAGGACCTTTTCTGAGATAAGACAGGCAACCATTCTAAGAGCAGAGTAAGCTTAAAACAGCCGAGAGTACTATGAATGATCACAGTTCTTACGCTTTAACTTCTGCATATCAATTGGAGTTGGAAACGGTGCTGCATACACGGTTGGTGAGGCTGGGAGTGCGGGGAAACGTTCAGTGATGGCTGCGTGAGGGCCAGGGTCAGGGTGGAAGGGCTTGCTGGGAGGCTAGAACCAGTGACTGACTGCCCCATCGAACGCACTTCCTAGGCTCACCGGCTCTTGTTTCTGCTTTGTGCCCGACACCCACTCAGCTGCTGGGATTCCTCAGACCTGCTGACTCATCCTCCTTAGCCTTCCAGCAAACACCAGGCCTGGCCATCCCTTCCCCACTATCACACGACTCCAAGACCTCCTCATCCTGCACCCCAAATATCGCACCCCATTCTATGCTGAGCCCCTGCAGTATGTGTCCACAGAAACAACCTTCCACTGCCATCAGCTTCATCTTCCCTGAAAAACACTTTCACTGTTAATGATTAAACTCACTCTCTCTTTTTGCTCCTGTGACCTTCACAGTAGAGCAAAAGCTTAGCAGGGAGTTTAAGTCCTGTGGAGGCCACCTGGGGGACTCTCCTTGAAGGAGGAGCACTTGTCCCCATTTTGGCTGAACCCAATCCTATTTTCATGTACTGACATGTATAGAGCTGGCTAGGACTTTTCCTTATCCCTTCAATTGGTTTTAAGCAATACATATCGGTCCAGCAGAGGTGCTAATAGTAGTCTTTGAAGCAAAGACAATAAGGCAGTGTTTCCCCAGGTCCCCCGCAGCTCCCAGATAAAACGTGTGAGCCCGGGTGAGGTGGGGTGGAGAGCCACTCCACGCTGTTGGCTTGGATCAAGCCTCAAAATAAGAAGCTATGACTTCCCAGGGCATAAAAGGTGACACATCAGCTGGGGATATAGCTCAAGTGGCACAGCATCTTCCTGGCAAGCACAAGGTCCTGAGTTCAATTCCTGGTACACTTCCAAAAAATATTACACATTAGAGCTGAAGCACCAGCCCCAAAACATTAGATACTACCTCAATTGTGTTATGCAGATTACTCTTTCTGCATAGCCTTCTCTCTGCATATTGCAGAGGTGATTTCAGACCTCCTACCTAGCCCAGCTCAGAGCACTGACCTATTTCCCACCATTCTCAGTCATTCATCCTCAAGCCACTCCCTTCTTCATGAACTAGTAAAATCTGGGTTCTGTTCTGGGTCAAAGCCTTTGTCCCAGTTAGTCATCATCCTAGCTAGACTCACGACCCTCTTGATTCTCCACCATTTCGGATATATTATTGGGTCTTTATTTATGCCGTGGGTTGCACTGGGAGTGGTAGATTGGAATTAACTTGATGGGATTAGAATAACTTTTCCATGGGATTATAAACATAAACTTCCTGGACCGCTAGGAGGACTGGGAGGAGCTCTCTATAAAGTCCAGTCAGAACTAACCCTGACCCATTTAGTAATCTTATCCTTTACCATTTCCCCAAACAGGGCACTCAGGTTCCCTAGCAAACGCATTAGCATGCCCACACTTTTGCTCACAGCATCCTCTCTGACCAAGGGCATTTCCTTGTTAGCCTGGTCCCTGCCGGGATCTCCTTACCCAGCCCAACGTGGGGTGAGTTCCCCTAAATGCCTTCAACAGCTAAAACCACAGTTTTGCTGCTCATTTTAGTTAGGTGTCCATGTGCCTCTATCCCTTTGCCCTGGACAAACTGCTGCTTGTCCTAGACTGGTGCCTTTTATAGAGTAGGGGCTCAAGGAGCATCCATTTATTCATTTTTAAAGGAGGTCTAAAAATTCCGGGTGCAACTCTTAGGTGTGAAGCTCCCAACTTCCAGTGGAGGAACTTCCATCCTGCCTTTAAAATAGCACTGATGATCGTTTTTCCCCTTGCTATCATCTTTTGATAGTTGACCGTCGAAGCGTCTACTATGCAGCTGCAGGATGCAGTGTCCTGCTGATGCTAATCAATGTCGTGGTGATAATCCTGAAAGTGTTCTGGATTGATCTTAGTCTGCTGTGGAGAGACATAGCCAGACCTTACAAAACATTGAATGGTAAGTGGCAAATTTCAAGGATTTCCTCCAAAATGATGATTGGTCACTAGCTTATCATAGTCGTGCTGCTGGACCTGGTTTCCCTTTCTCTTGCTATCTTGTTTTCAGTGGATTTTTTTGAGTCTACCCCGAGACTATTTTCCACATGGCTCTGTCTATCGCTAAGGTTCTGTGTATCATCTCGACAGCTTGACCTTCCTCCCCGTTAGGAATGGTGTTGCTACCAGCTCCCCACAGGATCTTTCCCAAGCCCAGAAAGTTTCCATATTTTGGGAAATGTGTGTGGTAAAGCTGGATGAAATGAAAGTCACAGAATTGTTCCTGTTTCCCAGATATGATCAAGGGAGGCAGGTGCACCAGAGCCCCTGTGGGATGTGTACATACAGAAGGGAAGATGGCTCTGTCCACTGCGGATGATGCTAGACTTTCATTTAGAAGCAAACATAGGGTAGATTTCTGTATACAGCACATGTAACCAGCAGCTAAGTGTCTGAGTTGTGGGGAGTTCGGAGGCCTTCAGTGAATCTCCTCCCTTGTCAAAATCAGCCTCTAGTATTTCCTTCTTCCAGCGAAATGTATTAGTCCCTGCTTTACCCTTGGCTTCCCTTCCTGTGGTTTCAGTTATCAGAGGCTAACTAAGATCCAAAAACATTGCCTGGAAAGTTCCAGAAATATAGAAAACACAAGTTATAAAGTGCACATCCTTCTGGGTAGCATGAGGACATCTCAGGAGGCCGCATCTGCCCCACCTGTGAGTTAAAGCACCCCTGTGCCTGGCACCCATGCCATCCATGTGACCTGCCCATGCGTCAGTAGCTATCTTGGTTATCAGACAGCAGTTGTGATGTGGCAGTGCCTTGTTCCAGTAACCCTTACTTACCTCACTGGGGGTCCCAAGGTCCAAGAGTAGTGGTGCTCATAACTTTATTAGAGTCTGTTGCTATGACTTTCCTATTTCAATGTAAATTATTATCATTAACCTCTTACCGTGCCTGATCTGTAAGTTCTACTTTATTGTAAGTGTATGTGTATAGGGAAAAACACAGCACATAGTGTATAGGGACTGGTACAGTCTGTGGTTTCAGGTATCTGCTCCGTGTCTCGGAGCACATCCCCTGACAGTCGGTGGGGTTGACTGGGGAAAGTGAGAGATGGGACTGAGGCCCACCAGACACAGGACCAGGACCCTGTCCATTGCTACAACTGCTCGTTGATAGATTCCCAGTCAAGCCTGACTATGCAGCTTACTCTATCCTGGACACTGTACAGGCTCTGGTCTGTTTGCTGTCAATTAGCCTGAGACAGTACAAGTGCAGAGCACTTTGGGACTAGGACTGCCATTTCCTTGTCACATTTTGGGGCACTGTCATCCTCATCTGGTTCTAGGACATTTGGAAGGATGAGGTACATTCACTGACAACCACAGAACTTGGTGAAGAAAGGCTGCTAAGAGTCAAACGAGAAGGTTTAGAACCAAATATTGAATTTGTCCTTGTTTTCCTCTCCAGATGGAAAGCTCTATGATGCTTACGTTATATACCCGAGAGACCACGCACATGGTTCCGAGGGGCCCAGCTCTGTGGAGTACTTTGTCCACCAGATTCTGCCCGATGTTCTTGAAAATACATGTGGATACAGCTTATGCATTTATGGGCGAGATCTGCTACCTGGAGAAGGTAAAGCTGTCTGCACATATCAGAGGCAGAAATTCCACCTAGTGAAAGGCTAAGGCTAAATGGTCTTATTCTTGCAATAGAAAAGGAATTGTGTTGTCTCATCAGAACTTAGCACCAGAGCTTTGAAATCGTTCTACAGGAAGTGCTTCTCCTTTGTTCTGCTCATCTTTGTCATTGTCCTTCACAGGAATGTCAGCTATGTGACAAGCTTGGAGTAATGTGAGATTTAGGAGTCCTTAACTTAGTGGAATTGGCTGGCATTGGTCCTGTTTTATTTCCTCTGTCCCCACTAGGATGACTCAGACCCTTCTTTCTCTTCAGGAGAGTTGAAAGAGGACCGAAAATTCAAAGAATTTGGTTCTGATATTCACAGGCACTAGCTAAAAGATGTAAAGAGCTCACAGTGCCTTCAGTTTTCTTATATTGGTAAGATGTTTACCAGCATATTCTCACTAGAATAAGTAAAGCTGTGGCTTCTGTTTCTTAATATTTTTAACCAATGTTAGGTGCTCTTGACAGTTTTATCACAATTCAAGCAATTTCAGTAGTTATTTTTCTCTTCCCTCCATTATTTATGTCAAGTACCTTTTAACTCTCCCTGTAAACTCTTCTTTAATTCCTCAAGGATCAGGAAAGATTTGGGATGTGAAAGGGGTCAGGACATCATGAACACATGCCTAACAATATTTTGTTTAGCATTTCAAGCTGCCATTCTGACTGAGAAGAGTGGTTAAATCCCTGTAGCCTGAAGGACTCACAAATAGTTGACTTTGTTTTCTTCTGGAAGATCCGGGTAGTGCTAAACAGCCTGTAAAGGCTCTGAAGACCTGAAAATGTACAGTTCAGGAGGACACAATTCTTCTCAGGGAACGCCCTGGCTTCCCCATGTTCCCAGTGACCATCTGCGTAGGGAGAGTGGTGGGTGATGGCCTCAAGTGCTATTTCCACCTCACAAATGTGCTCAAGGACCTATGGAGTACCCAGTTGTCTGTGAGATCACACTGTGTGTCACAGCTGGCCACAGCTCCTCATCCCTTCTTTCTCAGCCCATCAAGCTAATCTCAAGTTATACTCACCAGCCAACTTGGCTGCCTGTATGTTCTCTACCTATAAACTTGTTCCTCCCTGCCTGGGCAACACCACACTCACTTGGGTTGGCTTCATGTCCCTTGCCCTCAGTGCTGGTCCCCTGACCTCACCTTGCCTCCACTTATGTAGAGTAAAACCTAGCAGAATGCCATCAAGCTCTGCTGTACCTAGAAGAAAGGTCCAGGCTAGCCATGCAGCACGTTTGTTCCCACGGTGACTGTCCTCCATCCACCCCTCAAATCCATGCCACACGGTCTCCATCCAGAGTGGAAGATCCTGACCAACAGTCTCCATCCAACACTGTCGCACACTCATTTTCTCATCGCAGACTACAAGCTTTTGCAGCCTTTGGCAGCCACTCTTTAAGAAGTTCTTGAGTTGCTTGTTTGCAGCTGTGCTTCTTTGACACATTTCCACCGGCCACAGTGAGAACAGGGCATGCATGTGGTTTTCTAGGTCTGCCTAGAGCTGGTGAATCACCAAGGTATTGATGCTCCATTAACACTGCCTGAGAGCTGATTTCCTTAAGCTTTCTCTAGTCTGCATCAAACTGGCTCCTACAATAGACTGCTGGGGCATGAAGTGAATCCAGAACTTTCCTGCAGTGCACGGTCAGTTCAGGGGCTGGGGCTTTCTGAGTTTGTAATCTCCCATCTGAGAGTTCAAATATGGGGCACAAAAGCAGATACAAATACTAAGATGACAATAATCTAAGGAAATTCCAGTGAACCTGCATTCTAAGTCACCCAGGGAATGATAGAGTATATGGTCCCATGTCCCCATCTAGCCAAAGATGGTTTTAGGGTTGATCTACCTGGGAACAAAGAGGGCATTAGGGCTGACGTTCTTGTGGGGAAACGGATGAGAAGAAGGAATGGGCTCTCTATCCAGGTTAATTTCCACTTTCTGAATAAGTGACTTGATTGATATCAGAATCTCACACCAGTTTATAACAAGAGAACTTTTTAATTGTTCAGAGCATTTATAACCCAAGCATTAGAATTAAAAATCAGTGATAGAAAACCTCAATGCCTTTCTCATGTGAACAGATGTGGCCACTGCGGTGGAAGCCAGCATCCGAAAGAGCAGGCGGCACCTGTTCATCCTGACGCCACATGCGTCACACAGCAAGGAGTTCTCCTATGAGCAGGAGGTGGCCCTGCACTGCGCCCTCATCCAGAGCGACTCCAAGGTGATTCTGATCGAGATGGAGGTGGAGGGTGAGCCCAGCGGACTGCAGGCTGCAGGGCTTCAAGATGCCCTCAGCCACCTCGTACAAGTGCAGGGCACCATCAAGTGGAGGGAAGACCACATGGCCAACAAGCGGTCCCTGAACTCCAAGTTCTGGAAACACCTGAGGTACCAAATGCCAGTGCCCAGAAGACCCCCACAAAGAGGCTTCCAGTGAGGTCTCTGGATGCAGGAATAGCTGTGACACCCCTTCCAGTTGTTACGGCATCAGCAACTGGCAGATCTAAGCATGCAGGGAAGGCTGGTGACCTGGTACCAGGTACTGAGGACCATGGGTGGTAGTAGGAGAGTCGAGGATCATTGGATGGACCTCCCACTGTGTCTAGTGGCTCCACTTTCATCTTGCTGATTCTGGGTGGATAAAGAATGTCCAGAAATGTTTGCTCCCAAGCCCTCTGATCTTCATGGTTGTATTCTGTGGTGACATGGGATCTTTTTACAGTGCTTTTATTCTTTCTCATTTTCTATCTCTCTTTCTCCTCCCTATACCCTTTCCCTCTCCCCATCTGCACTTTAGGGGAGCGGTGGATTGAGCCCAGGGCATCTTCACGCTAGGCAAGTGTTCTACCACTGAGCTGCATCCCAGCCCCTCTCTCCTTTTCGCTTTCTCTTCTTCCTACATCAATAATCGACATTCTGAATGGCAAATGGAAACTTTTAGAGTTAAGTTTTGGTGTCATCTCAAAGAATATTCTAATCCTCACAGGCAGAACTTAGGTATTATAAACACAGGCCCAGCCTGCCCTTATTTCCTTATTACACTTTATTTGTTAGTTGCTCAGTTCTATCATCATAGTTTTCCCAATTATGTTCAGATACTTTATCCAAATTATTATTAAAATTAAAGTTCTTTCTGCACTAAAGTTTCTTTTATATAGCTTTTTGTCTAGAAAATTATTTTCTTACTATAAAATTGACAGAAGCTTATCATAGAAAAGCAAAAATTATAAAGGAAAAGAATGAAAACCATTCCTAAATCCATCATCTTAATTATTATTGGTTATTTTTGCTACATTTTCTTCTATTTTTAAAATTTTATTTTTCATTTTAATTTTGTTTTGTGGTGTTCGTGATAGAACCCAGGACTGACGCATGCTAAATCAATACTCTTGGTGTAGATCATTGAACTACAGTCCCAATGTAAGTGTTCTACCACCTGTAAGTGTTCCATGGTAAGAGTCAAATAAAAAATTGGCCTTTTTTGATAAAACATTAAAAATCATTTGTATAGATGGGATTATACCATATTATGTGGCGTAACTTAAATATAAAGTATCCAGCAAAGACTTGTGTCTTGAGGGTGCTAACATCATCAATGGGTTAACCCATCTGTGAATTCATAGCCTAACCAGCTGTAGGAGCTGGAGCCTAACTGGATGAGCCAGGTCACCAGGGCCTGTCTGCCTTTGAAGAGTGTATCAGCGACGGCTAACCTTTTACAGCTTTGGAAGATAACAAACAGCCTACTATGGCACTTGTGTTATAGGTTCACCACCACTGTCTTGGTCCCTTTCCTGACTCTTTGACACTTTCCATCTTTCTCTCTGCTTTCCTTCTGCCACAAGGTGAACAGTTTTCCTCCACCATGCCCTCCCACTGTGATTTTTCTCCCTCATCACAGGCCTAACACAAATGGAGCCAGATGACCGTGGACCATGAAACCATGAACCCAAATAAGCCTTTTCTCTTTTAAATTTTATAGGTCAGATATTTTGTACCACCAACAGAAAAGTGAATTTTACATTTTTTAACCCAAAATCATAATGAAAGTTGTTGGTACATCACTGAATTTTTTTAACATTTTAAAATATCCACAATGTTCCATTTCATGGTTGTGCTACATTGGATGGAACTGAAAATTCACCGTTATAAATATTTCTGCCATGACCATATCGGTATATGTTATACCTCTCAATTAATTCATTTATTAAAGAGTTAGAGACTGCTTTGTGTGTTACAATATTTTTATTAAATTACTAGAGTATTTTTGGCAGAGTATGTTGATAGAACTAAGTTAATTTGCAGCCGGGGTTAATTCCCTGCAGGACAGCACATCACTCAGGACCGCAGGAGCCCATTGTGGTATCCACGGCTGAGTGTCTGCTGGAACCCTGGTTTCTGAGGACAGGTGTCCTTGATCCCACCCTCACTCTGGTTATAGTGCCCATGGCCTGCAGAGGATGTAGGTGACACCTCAAAGTCTGCAAGCAAGTAGTAAGATCCTACTCTAGCTGAAGCATGAAATAAGTTAAATGAGTTCATATTTTACGAGCAAGAGAAAGCTGAGAGACACATTCAGTGCCTTTTAGAATCCTGACTGAAATCATATTTCCAGGGTGCTGTCTAACATATCTATAGCTATTCATCTTTCTAGGAAGATTAAGACCCTATAGTCTTAATCTACTGCCTCAGACGGGGTTGCCAGATGAAAGAGGACATCAGTTAAAGTTGAATTTGAAGCATAGAATTTCACCCGAATTTGATATCAAATTCAAATTTAGCATCCTGCACTGTTTTTGGCTAAATGTGACTACTGCCATAAATTGTGCTTTCATGTGGTACCACCAGATACTGAAATAACAAGTAACTGGACAATCAAAAGGACATCGCATATCTGACTGGTTCTCATCGCATAATTTGAAATCAATTTGTCAGTTTCTGTTTTGTATTCACCATCTGTGTGACTGTTACGGCTTGTATCTAAATGTTTCCCCAAAGCCTCATGTGGTCATAGGTGGGGCTTCTCAGAGGTGGCTGGATCTAGCTTGTGTGATGCTGGGATCAAGGGTGCGTGATTACTAAATTAGCCCACTGATTGGTTGGGCATAGCTCTAGGTAGGATTAAGGGTGCCCCACTCTGGGTGTGAGTGTACCTGCCCTATGGGCAGGTAGCCTGGATAAAATACAGGGGACAGAACGAAGATTGTTTCCTGTCACTTGCTGCTTTGCTGCCTTCTGCCTGCCATGAACTGTTTCTCCTCGGGGTGCCCCTCTGCCATGCTGCTCTGCCTTAGAGCCAGCCGACTATGGACTGAAACTTCTGCAGACTATGAGGTAAATAAACTTTGCATCCTTTAATTTTGGGTGTTGGGAATTCCGTCTGTTATGGTTGATACATTGTGTCAACTTGGGGAGTCTAGAGGTTTGCTCTGGCTGTTTCCTGTTCGGCTGCCATTCCCTGCTTTGCTCTTGTTGCTTTGCTATCTTCTGCCCTGGAGCCAGCCAAGTATGGACTGAAACCTCCACAAACTGTGAGCTAAATAAACCTTTCTTTCCTTCATTTTGGGTGTTGGGTATTTTGTTTCAGCAACGAGAGAAAAGTAACTAAGACAGAATTTGGTACCAGAGGAGTGGGGCTGTTGCTGTGACTATATCTGACCATGTGGTTCAAGAGCCTTTGGAAATGGCTTGTGGGAAGTGTTTGGAAAGGCTCAGAGATGTCGCCTGAAAGAGAAGAGCTAGAACGCCTTTGGTTGTTCTGTCCAGGAGAGTCTAGTCAGAGCTCAGAAGCCCAGAAGGCTGATAGGAATTGTGCCAGTAAAGACCAGGTTCAGGAGGTTTCTGCTGGGAAGAAGGACTGCATTCGTTGTTGGACTCCAGACGATGTGTGTTATGGCTTGGCAGAAAGTTTGTCTGCATTTTGCTCGTGTCCAGAGACTTTGCCTAAGACTGAGATTAAGGGCAGCAGTGGACTGGTTAATCTGGCAAAAGAAATTTCAAGGCAGTCAAATGTTGGGGAAGTGGCATAGCTATTGTTGAGGGCTTTT